CACGGTCACTCTGCCCATGCGCCATGTGGGGTCCCTCCCATGGGATGCCATCCTTCCCAAATTGATCCTACGTGGGCTTCCCACAGGAGTGGGAGCTCTTCAGGAACATCTCCAATATGGGTCTGTATCATGGGGTCCATCCCTCAGGAGCAAAATGCTGCAACATGGGTCTCCCGTGGGCAGCAACTACCCCAGATCCCCAGCTCCTGTGTGGTCTCCTCTCCACAGGCTGCAGCTCATTCTCTGCAGGGTGTCTGGAGCACCTCCTTCCTTCCTTCTACACTGATCTTGGTGGCTGCAGGGTTTCTTCTCTCTCAGTTTCTCAGTCCCTTCTTCCAGCTGCTACAATGCAGCATTTTTTTTTTTTTAAACTCTTCTTAAACACCTCCCAGAGGCACAACCGGCATCACTCACTGGCTCGGCTCTGGCCAGCGGCAGGTCTATTTTGGAGCTGGCTGGAGCTGGCTCTGATCTGACATGGGGCAGCTGCTGGGCTTTGCTCATCCATGCCAACCCCACAGCCTCTCCCACTACCAAAACATTGCCACGTAAGCCCGTTGTATATGCATCAGTCCTAGACTCAAAACATACATGGAGGGGTGGCGTGGCCATAAACCAAGCCTGAGAAGCTGGGGAGGCGTCAGTAGAGTGGATGGGAACCGTCCCTTCAACCTGAAATAGCACTGACATTCATTTGTTTTCAGGCTGGCTTAACGAAACCCAGAAAATGCATCTTTGCACAGTCTGACTGACTGTACGGAGCCCATACAGAGAGATCACAGAGCTGAAATTTATTGGCCAGATGAAGACAGACAAATTCTTTTTGCTTTCACAAAGGTAAACACTGCCATTAGTGTATGATCAATATTGATCCTTTTGATGGGGCGAAAGGGTCAACGTAGTAGGTAGCACCAAGGCTCCACCATTATCTACTTTGCCTCCCCTTTGTGCTTCTGCAAGTCTTCCCCTGGGTCTCTGAAACCTCTTTGGTATGCATCAGTGATGAACATCCTGATCTGACTGCAGCAGCGAAGGTTTCTGGTACTTCTCTGTATCTTCTTAGCAGGTCGCTCAAGGGGCCAGAGAAAGCTATTGTTGCCTTGCCTAAAGGGAAGGTGTGCTGTCCTTTCAGGTGGCTGAGGAGCCATCTCCTGGATGTTGGAGCAGCCCTGGAGAAACACCCAGAACAGCGTGTGCAGGGCCACCTCACAAAGCATCTTCATCAAGGAGGATGCAGGCGTCTCCTCAAGTTCCTTTCCCCCCACAGAAGTGCTTGAGATCGCAGATGATGAGATCTGGTGTACTTTCGTTTAGGGCCTTGCGCTAGAACTCTTGGGAGGACAGCCTTTCAGCTGTGGTAACGAGGAAGGGCTGCCCATTCCTTCGGACTAGGGGCTGCAAGCTGGGAAAAGTCCCAGTTCGGAGCAGGGCGCTTTGGGAAGGCTCCTCCTCGGCCATCCTCTGCCAAAGTCAGGGCTCTGTGGGAGCACCCAAGGGCAGGCAGCTTCCCCAGGCGGCAGGGACGCAACGAGCCCCACAGCCCCCCGCCCCCAAGAGGCCCCGCCGCGGGGGGCCGGGAACGCCGCCGCCCTCCGTGCGCATGCTCGGAGCCCGCCCCGCTGCCCGCCGCCGCCTGTCCCTGCTCGGCAGCCGTAGCGGCGCGGGGCCGGCGGCATGTTCCGCATCGAGGGGCTGGGGCCCAAGATGGACCCGGAGGAGCTGCGGCGGAAGATGCGCCGCGACGTCCTCGCCTCCGTGCGCAACTTCCTCATCTACGTGGCGCTGCTGCGGATCAGTGAGTGCGCGGCACCGCGCCGGGCCGGGCCGGGCCGGGCCGGGCCTTGCTGCTGGCGGGCTGCGCGCTGCGGCGGGGCCGGGCGGGGGGGCCTCGGCGGGCAGAGCAGCGGCGGCGCGGCGGGGGGAGGGAGCTGGGTGGCGGAGGCGCAGCCCGTCTGGGTAGGCGAGGTGCGCTGCAGCTTGGCGGAAGGTCGGTGATGCTCCTTCTGTGTTCTCTTTTCAGCTCCTGTCATCCTGAAGAAGCTTGGACAGTGTCTGAACAGCGTGCGAGGTGGCAAAGAAGACGCGGCTTCTGCAGACGTGAAATGAACTGTAGCTGCTTTCCCTTTCGTGTTAATTAAACGCTGTGCGAGAGACAGGCATGCAGTCCTAAATGGTGTTAAAAAATGGACATTGAAGCATATCTGACCTGAAAGTGATAGCTTGGCTGGGAGTGTGGGGAAGATGTCTGTTTCTCCTGCAGCTGACTTCTGGTCGCAGAGTACTCTGTACTACAGGAAGCAGTATGTTATGATGGAATACTTCTGGTACTGTTTTAAACAACAACAAAACCAAAAACCCACCTCCATCTTCTTTTTGTATAAAGTGGCCAGGACGTTGCTTTGTTATGCATCTGCCTCTAAATTGCCACATAGCTGTTAATATTACTGAAACCTGTCTGTATGAGAAATCAGGTTGTTAATGAATCCAATTCAGAAAGTTGATTTAAAATAAATGGAAGAGCAGTCCTATCAATTAATGAACAACTCTGGTACTGATTGATTTATAACGTCTCCCAGGGGGAACAAAGTCACATCCCATAGTAAGCAAAAAGAAGGATTGATACCACCTGATCAGACTGAACAGGTACAAGTCTGGGGGGTTCATGGTTGTGCATCCCAGAGGTCCTGAGAGAACAGGCTGATGCAGATGCCAAGCCTCTCTCCATCCTATTTGAAAAGTCCAGCTATCTGACCCCAAGGAAGCCAGCTGTTGTAGTCTCTCTGGATTTCACTAAAGCATTCGATACTGTCTCGCAGAACTGTCTGGACAAAATGACCAGAAAGCAGTTAGATAAAATCACAGTAAGATGGGTGAACAATTGGCTGACAGGTGAGACCCAGAGGGCTCTTGTAAATGGGGTTACATCAGGCTGGTGATCTATCACTAGCGGGGTTCCCCAGGGCTCCATTTTAGGACCGGTCCTCTTCAGTGTTTTCATAAACAATCTGGATGAAGGGCTTGAAGGATTTTGAGCAAGTTCACAAATGATTCCAAACTGGATGGGAGCTGTTGACTCCGTCAAGGGTGGTGAGGCCTTGGAGAGAGATCTGGACAAATGAAGAGAGCTGGACAGTCACCAACAGTACGAAGTTTAACAAGAGCAAGTGCCAGATTCTGCACCTGGGAAGGGGCCAACCCTGGCTATTTATAAAGAGTGGGGGATGAGAGGCTGGAGAGCAAGCCCTGCAGAAAGTGATCTGGGGTTTTTGGTTGACAGCAAGCTGGAACGTGAGCCAGCAGTGTGCCTTGGTGGCCAGGAGGGCCAACCATACCCTGGGGTGCATCAAGCACGGCATTGCTAGCTGGCAAAGGGCGAGGGATTGTCCCAGTCTGCTCTGCGCTGGTGCAGCCTCACCTCAAGTGGTGTGTGCAGTTCTGGGCCACCAGAGTATCAGGAAGAAAGACGTAAAAACTGTTGGACAGTCTCCAAAGTAGGGCAATAAGATGGAGAAGGGTCTAGCGGGGAAGACGTAGGAGAAAGCAGTTGAAGGTCGCTTGGATTGTTCAGCCTGGAGGAGACAGGAGGAGACCTCATTGTGGTCTGCAGCTTTCTCACAAGGGAGAGGAGAGGCAAGCAACTGGTCTCTGCTCTGGTGGACCAGCAACAAGACCTGAGGGAATGTCAGTGTTCACCGAAGAGGGTGGTCACGCACTGGAACAAGCTCCCCAGGGAAGTGGTCACAGCACCAAGCCTGCCAGAATGGAAGAAGCGCTCGGACAGTGCTCTCAGGTGCATGATCTGATCTTATATTATTATTATTTCACTATTTTATTATTATTTTGAGTGGCTCTTTGGGGAGCCAGGAGTTGGCCTTGATCCTTGTGGGTCCCTTCTAACTCAAACATTCTAAGATCCTATGATTCGATGAAGTCTGTTGGGCCTGATGACGTGCATCTCAGGGTCCTGAGGGAAATGGCTGATGTCGTCGCCAAGCCTCTCTCCATCCTACCTGAAAAGTCCTTGGCAGTCAGGTGAAGTAGCTGGTGACAGGAAAAAGGGAAACATCACTCCCATTTTTAAAAAGGATGGAAAAGAGGACCCTTTTTTTAAACTAAGAGAGGGAGACTTAGATTAGGGGTTAGGAGGAAATTCATCACTGTAAGCAATGTGAGGCACTGGAACAGGTTGGCCAGAGAAAGGAAACCTGTGGATGCCCCATGCCTGGAGGTGTTCACAACCAGTTGGACAAGGCCCTGAGCAGCCTGATCTAGTGGGTGGCATCCCCGCCTATGGCAGGGGGCTTTGAATTGGATAGTCTTTATGGTCCCTTTCAACCCAAGCCGTTCTGTGGTATGATTCTAAGGCCCTCTCTCGTTCACAGTACTTCATAAGGCACTCTGACATAGTCCATTGTCTTAAACTAATGTGAGAAAAGTGCTGACATTCATGAGACCCTTCAGAGAGATGAGGACAAGACCCACCCCCAACAGGTGGCAGATGGGTACTCCAAACTTAAGAAGTGTTGGAAGAAGCTGTCCCTACATTGCTATCAGCAAGGAAACAGATAGTGAACTAAGTTACCTGAAATGCAGTATGACAATAGAGAACCTAAGCGTGGGAATGCAGAGCCGTGTCTGCTTTTAAATGCTTAAAGTGGTCTTCCTGTACAAGTTCCTACTCATACCTTTCTCCAAGTGGTGCCAGGAGTGGGCACTTTATTCAGTTCATGGGATAGATATGGCCAGGCCCCTGTGACATTGTGAATTTTTCTTCGGTAACGGAATGAGCACAGGAGCTGGAAGAAACTAAACACTTACCTAGATGTGGCTACCTGGCATGGCTAGCATTCCCCCGTGGTATGCCAGATGCACCAGGCAAGCTGTCTTTGTGCAGGCAGGCAGGGTGTGAAATCATCTACTGGCAGAAATAGCTTGGGGCTTTCAACTCAGCTGTCAGGGAAGCTCACATTCTTGTGAACCAGAACTAGGTGGTTTGCAATTTCTGATGTTTAAACATGCAAAGAGACTGTCAAAATTAATAAAGATTTAATCATAGAATCATAGAATACCCCGAGTTGGAAGGGACCCATAAGGATCATCAAGTCCAACTCCTGGCACCACACAGGTCTACCCAAAAACTCAGACCGTATGACTAAGAGCACAGTCCCATCGCTTCTTAAATTCTGACAGGCTTGGTGCAGTGACTACTTCCCTGGGGAGCCTGTTCCAGGGCGTGACCACCCTCTTGGTGAAGAACCTCATCCTGATGTCCAGCCTAAATCTCTCCAGATTCCCAAAACTGTTGAAAAATAATTGAGAGGAGGTCCCGTGATGGACATCAGCCAGCTTTTTAAGCACTCTGGGATGGATCCCATCCGGACCCATGGACTTGTATGGATCCAGGTGGAGCAGCAAATCCCGCACACATTCAGGGTCGGTTGGGAGCTTGTCACATCTTAAAGGGCATATTTGTCTGTGTTGACGCACTGAGGCTGTGACCATCACGCTCACAAGCTAAACATCATTAGCTGGTTTTACCCACTCTATACCGTGTCTTTCAGTGAATGAAGAACGATCAATCAACACAGAAGAAAATTGCAGAGGGCCCTCTGGTACCACCTAGCTGCCGCACAGGAATGCATCTGTTCCAAATCAAACTTCACTGGTCCCTCCTGTGAAGGGAAATGCCTCCGGTGGAAGTGTCACATGCTCAGTCAGCCTGCTCCCAAATACAGGAAATCTTAGAATTTCTGTTGAAAACCAACTCTCCTTGGGAAAAAAACAAGCAAACAAACAAACAAACAAAAATACTCTGATTTAAGGACTAAACCTCCTGCACACCTTGTCCTATCATCTTACTTAGTGCATGTATACTGCATTCCTCACTTGAAACTCTGTGGGGACATTGCTCCCCACATTCCTACTTCTGGAAGACAGCTCGGGAGGCAAGCTAATAAACATGTCTTCACGGAGCAAGCATTCAACCCCGTCCCAAGAAAAGGAGAACTGTTATTTCCAGGCAGAAGGTTTAGCCTCTAATAAGGACAACTATTTTAACAGCGATACCAAACCCATGGTCTCAACACCTATGGGTGCAATACCTTCACAGGTTTTTACAGTGGGTCAGTGTGTCCTTGGCTTTGAGTCATACACTAAAATTATTGGCTTGATCAAACGACACCCTCTGTTGGGACAGGAGCCTTCTGGGTCAGGGCATTTCACATGTACGGCAGGTCTTAGATACAGGGGATTTAGGATGGCTTCACACACTCTTACAAGCAGCAGCAACAATGCATTTTCACTCTGAAGAACTTTGCAAATAGTAAGGAAACTGCATGTCTCATCCCTAGGGATCAAATATCAGCTCAGATACGTCAAGGCAAGCATCCACTGAAGGAAAGGCTCCAATGGAAACTTGAGTGCAAGAACTTTCCCTGTGCAATCTGAACTCCAGCTCAGGTTGGAAAGATCCCAATAGTCTGGAGTGCGTGCAGTAACAGCAAGAATAGGTTTTACTCCAGCATATTACACCAGTTCGGAGACCTACATCTCTCCCACAAGATTTGCTGGTGTCATACTCTATATAATGTAGACAGATAATGTAGATTCAACTGCATCCTAATCCCTGCCTGTTAAGAACACCTCACAAAATCATCAGTTTCATCACCAATTTCAGTAAGAACTGGTCTGACCTCAGGCAATGTCCCTTGTAAGTATATTCCTATTCTACTGTGAGCATCTTCCTCAAGCAAGAATCTGGATGTCCCTGATGAAACATGGGGATTCACCTGAGTAGAGCCAAGGACCTTTTAACTCATCAGCCCCAACCATGACCAGAAAGGCTCGCTGTGGCCCCATGGCAATGGCAGAACTTCATAAAACAGGCTCTCTTGAGTCCCTAGGCACATTTCATCAGACTGCACCTGTTCTGGGGCAGGCACTGGGTAGAACCAATGAGAATGGCATGCTCCTAACTGCTCTCACTAGTACTCCTCTTCAGGACCTGAACCGTGGCAGAAAAGCAACTGTAAGCAGTCTGAACATAAGCCTGAGGAGATTAGATCCATCCACAGACATGGCTCATTCTGTAGCAAACGAGGTGCAACAACTAGCAAGCAAGGAGGTCGTTTTTTGAAAGGAATGAAAAACCCATCAGTGATGGGACAAAAGAACCGTTCTTGCAGCACAGATCACAACATCACACATAAGGGGAGCATGCAAACATTTGGACATAGCGTGAGAAGTCAGACATAAGCAACATGGCACAGCTGTTGGACAATTGTATAAGCCCCAGAAAGAACTTCAGTTCTCCTGACCTCAGCGTGTTTCTCCTGAAGTGCTGGAGCCTCTTGAGAACATTTTCATTTGTACTGCATCAACCTGGCTGGTAGTTCAAAGCAGCAGAAGGGTGGTCTGGCACCCCTCTGACCTTTCCCCATCCCCTCAAGACCTTATCTGCACTGGTGGATGAGCAGATAAAGCTCCACTTTTTCTGTTATCCTCATCCCATGCTTCCTCCCGATCCTCAGGTTCTGCATTGTTATTGTGATTTCCCAGCTCCTCTTCCTCTTTTAGGACTCCCTCACTGTTCAGCCCCTGCAGGAGTGCCACCACTTCCTCCGGCTTGGGCAGTTTAGTTATCTTAAAAGTGTTTCTTATAATGGGGTGTGTCCTTGTGGATAAGCCTCTGTTTCTCCACTGGGAATGGTCACTTTTCATCTTCATCCTCATCTTCACTCCTTATTAATGTGTCCTCAGTAAAGTGTACAGTGGGCTGCAATGGCAAAGCCCCAGAAAGGCTGCGAGCCTCAGATAACAGCCATAGCTGCAGGCAGCACATAAATCTGCTGTCCCTCTACTACCAACGCATGCAAAGCCAGCATTTCTGCTTTAATGTTAAAGAAGATGCAGGAATACATACCCCAATTTCCCTATACTTGTTTTTGCCCCATCTCCCATATTAACTCCTTCACCTAGACACATCTGTCAGCTTCATGGGCACTCAAACCTGTAAGCCTGACTTTTGCACAGTCCCTGCCCCATTCCCATGCTATTTTTCCTAGTCTTTGATGGACCCTGTTCCACCACGCTCCCTGAATCTCTCCTTGCAGTTAGCTTCCAGGGCCTTTACTTGCCTCCAGCAATGCCCAAATCATACTCTGTAAATCCATTTATCATTTTCTCAGAAACTGTCAAATCCTTCCACTTTTTAACATGACCCTGATGCAGTTCCTAGATTCCTACCTCATTGTATTCTACTTCTACATCTTCCTCCTCTTGGACAGCTGCTTCTTTATGCTCCTCTTCAGCTTTTGGCTTTACAACCTTCCCCAGCTCCTGCATCTCAGACAGCTGCCCATTTGGCCAGCTCCTTTGTCCCTCTTTTCCCTGCTCCTCTGCCCTAAGGTCAGCAAGAGGTGGTGCTGTTAGAAAGGTGGCAGTCCTCACTGTGATTTGACGTGGCACTCAGTCTTTCTCCTGGGAAGATGATAGATTACAAAAATCAAGACGGAAACCAAAGTAGGAAATGGATCAGTATAATCTGATTGGTGCAGGGTGGGGTATGGTCCACTGCCAAAAGAACCAGCTTTTTCAAGTTGCCCACTACCTTCCTAGCTCTACCCCTGTTTCACCATCTATGTGGGCATTTATTGTCAATATCACACCTGGGCAGCAAGGCAACATCCCCCAGTACTCTATTCCCATCAATCTTTATTCAGTATATCAGAGCCTTCTTTTTCTCTCCCTCTTCTGTGACTGAAGTGGCACTGAGGCACACATTCCCCGTTATGGCCTTTTCTGTATCCTTGCTGCATCTTGTGCTGTCTCAGTGGCCCTAGCAGACACCACAAGGTAGGTTCTAACTCATGAAATGCAAGCAATCCATGCTCAGTCCAGTCTCACATTTCCCAAAAGTTAAGTTCTTTCTGCCCAGCTTACAAACACTGCCTCTCCATTTCCCCCATCTGCGACATGCTCTGTACAGTTATCCATTTCTTAGTGAACAGCACTCGCTTCTGACTTAGGTGAATTCAGGTCTGTGCCAGGTTTTGCAGCATGTACCTCATTGCACGGAACTTCAATAACTTTCTTCATAACCTTCAGCTCGCTGGGATGAGGGGTTGCTCTGCGCTGTAGGCCCTACCGAAGAAAAAGCACTCATGCAGAGCATGACATTTAACAATCAGAGGAATACGTGTCATACCTCAAGATTGAATCAGTTCAAATGACGTGTTTTATCAGACCACTAGAGCCCAAGCTGGACATGAACAAAATGTCACAGAATCTGATGCGGACTTCTCTGCTATTACAGCGTGCAGCTGGGTACAGGACTTCATTCTGGTCTAACCAAAGCTCGCACAAGTTTGGTAGCACTCCCAGAGTTATCTGGCTGTAACAGAGCAGGGCAGTAGCAGTGTCACAGCAGTAGCAGTGTCAGTCCTTTCCAGGGGAGAAACTGCTCTAGGATATTCCAAATCACACTAAAACTCTGCAAAACTCGATGGTACTGCTTTCACACCTCCAACAACCATTCATCAAATGGTTTATGAGACTAACATTTTGGTGTGCCACAATACTGCAGCAAATATGTTTGGAAGTGTCTGGGTTAGCATACTGGCTGCAGAAGCTCCCAACAGGAAACATAGAAGACAACAGGAAGGACTGTCCAGTAGCAAGGTTTTGGAAATGCTGGACCCACAGTAGAAATGTGTCTTTCTCCCCCTCCTGCCAGACATGAATAAAAGCTTTTGGTTAACACTGACAATCCCAACATGATATAGCAGCGCTATCAGCAATGGTAGACGTGTTCATAGTGTTGCTCCTTTTGTTACCTGTAAACACAACACACTCTGATGAGTGTTTGGTTTAGGACTTAAAGCACCACTCGAGTGCTGTTCAAGCATCAGCCAACTGTTCTCACAAGCAGGCTGCAGCTTTGTGCGTAGGAAGCTGCAAAATCTCTTCTGTCCCCATTTTAGTTGGCTTTCTGCCAAAAAGCATTTCAGAACATTAAGAACAGGATTCAGTAACAACTTGATCCACAACTGCAAAGTTAAATATCACTGGATTTCCCCCAGTGTCAAGACGAGCTGTAATTCAAGATTATGCACTGGCTCTCAGCATACTTAGGTTTAGGCTTGGGTTTAGAGCCCTCCATGGAGGCACCCTGATCCAGAGGGCACACACCACATGCTAGGCTGACATAACTGTCAGGAACAACATGGAATGGTCCTGTACTTTCTAAAGGAGAAAATAAATTACGAAGGGAAATGCAGAAAGTCAGCCCAGCAGAAGTGGAAAATGACAGCTGGTGGCAGTGCAACACCGCAGATAAATAAAGTACCAGACAAGAATTTCATTGGAAAGGAAAGATCTTTAGGCAGCTAGATAGCAACAAAGAATGTCTCAGAGCAAAGGGGCTTGGAAAAAGCAGAGCAAGGTGTGTATAAGGGTAGTAGAAAGTGAAACAGGGCCAACACACAAAGAAAACATTATACTGGGAACACTGACTAGGCCATCCTGGGCAGATCAGAATCTTCCCAAACAACCTGAGGGTCTACTTCTTTGCATTTCAGACAAAACAAAACAAAACAAAAAACACTTCCACAAAGGTACAGATGCTACCTCTACCAACCACCCATATTCCCTCCCCACCATCCCTCACCTACCAGTAATTCCAGGTCATTAGCACCAAGGTCCAACTGTTCTAACTTGACAAGGAATGAGAGCAAACTGCAACACACAGGGAATGGAAAGGGAAAAAGAGAGGAAGAGGAAGAGGAAGAGGAAGAGGAAGAGAGAATGAGAGAGAGAGAGAGAGAGAGAGAGAGAGAGAAGGAAGGGAAGGGAAGGAAGGGAAGGGAAGGGAAGGGAAGGGAAGGGAAGGGAAGGGAAGGGAAGGGAAGGGAAGGGAAGGGAAGGGAAGGGAAGGGAAGGGAAGGGAAGGGAAGGAAGGGAAGGGAAGGGAAGGGAAGGAAGGGAAGGGGAAGGGAAGGGAAGGGAAGGGAAGGGAAGGGAAGGGAAGGGAAGGGAAGGGAAGGGAAGGAAAACTAATAATACAGTGTACAAACAAGTGATGTACAATGCACCCGCTGACTGATGCCCAGGCTATTCCTAAGCAGCCAGACCCCCCACCCCGTCCAGCCCCCCATATAATTGTTCAGCATGACGCCATATGGTATGGATTAGTCCTTTGGCCAATTTGGGTCAGCTGTCCTGGGTTTGTCCCCTCCCAGCTTCTTCTTCACCCCAGCCTGCCTGCTGGCAGGACAGAGCAAGAAGCTGAGAAGTCCTTGGCTTAGTGTAAGCACTGCTCTGCAACAATTAAAACATCAGGGTGATACCAACGTTAGTCTCATACTAAATCCCAAACACAGCTCTGTAACCTGCCCTGACGACTGACATCAGACTGACGGGCCTGTAATTCCCTGGAAAGTCCTTCCAGCCCTTCCTGTTGCCTGGAGGCACGTCTGCCAGCCTGCAGTCCACTGGGGCCTCCCTCATCACAGTGGGCAGCAGAAGAGACCTGCTGCGCTCCTCCCTTGCCACGGGAGCCCCACGGCTCCCACCGTCCCCCCAGGCCACAGTGAGCTCCACAGCCCTTCCAAGGAGGCAGGAGCAGGTGGTGCAGCAAGGCTGCCTCTGCCCTCCGCAAGCAACCTCAGGGCCCGATACACAACAGCCTGGCAGCATGGCTCTTACCCTCCAAACCGTCACACAGGTAGTCATTGTGGGCTTACATATGATGTTACAAGCACCCTGAAGTCCATAGCACTAATATCTACCTCTCTGTGAATATAACAGGCCATCAAATTATGGTCCCTTCATTTCGTATTTCATGTTAACAGTTAATATGTCACTCAGTAGTCATATAACTTATTTCTCTTGAGACCTAAGACAATATTAAATTACATCTCATGCTTCTTCTGTATTTGTCAAGGTGTGTGATTTATGGACTAATGAACACATTTCATGTGAACTTTTACAATATTCACCTCTGTTTCATTTCCATACTCAATATGATGTTCATGAAGGTGCATGACTACAGGACTGCTTTTCTCCAGTTAATTAGAAATCAGAGCATTTCTCTAGGTTAAAAGCAAAGAGTATGCAGCCACTTATGTTAAAATTGTTGCCCTGATTTTCACTGCTAGTGATTTCAAATTCTTTTCAGGCTGATCGGTCTGCTTTTCACATTACTTAGCTTTCATCATCCCTTTGCACTTCATTTATAACATATTCATTTTTTATATATCAGAATCCTACTCACTGCACTTTAGAAAACAGTCTTCCTGGCAGGGGAGAAGGAACAGAGGTCTATGAAATAGGATACAGCTAATGATGTAATTAGCAGTATACCAAGCTAGTACCAGACCCAAAGGATTATAAATTTTATAAATATTTATAAATCTAGTTATCTGATTAATTATATATTTTGGCTTTTGATTTTGGTTGGATGGTTTATTGGTTGGTTTGGTTTGGTTTGGTTTGGCTTGGTTTTGTTGTTGTTTTGTTTTGTTTTTGAGAAAGCCTGAGAAAGTCATAATTTTGATAAGGCTGAAACTCATGAGTGGTATATGGATAACTTTTCAGCCCAGGGAGGTTATGCATCTCTTTTTCCAGTGAGCTATTCATTCAAGAATAGCTCTAGAATAGTTGAGCTATTGATCAGCATCCAGGTGACTTTTTTATATTGTTTTTGCAGATGTGGAGGGATGAGGCATGTGCTACAGGGTAATGGATGCAGTGGAGTTCTCTGTGAAGGTGATCTAGTGTATAGTGTTGGAGGGAAGGCACTACAGTTGGTGACTACACGAAAATGGTTTTTGCTTGTTTGGAAGCTCTCTACAGGTACCTCAAAGGAGGCTGTAGCGAGGTGGGGGTTGGCCTGTTCTCCCACGTGCCTGGTGACAGGACCAGGGGGAATGGGCTAAAGTTGCACCAGGGGAGTTTGAGGTTGGATCTGAGGAAGAACTTCTTTACCGAAAGGGTTGTTAGACATTGGAACGGGCTGCCCAGGGAAGTGGTGGAGTCACCATCCCTGGAAGTCTTTAAAAGACGTTTAGATGTAGAGTATAGGGATATGGTTTAGTGGGAACTGTTAGTGTTAGGTCAGAGGTTGGACTCGATGATCTTGAGGTCTCTTCCAACCTACAAATTCTGTGATTCTGTGTGATTCTGTGAAGATGCAAAGCAGGGCATGACGTGGAATGTCAGCACCAGAGTCTACCTGAGCAAGTTAAGTGATGACCACCATGTTGAAACAGAGGTTATTTATTTGAGGTACTGGTGTGGCAGTTTTAAGTATTTCCCATTTGGGTATTACAGGTGATGCCCAGTCCTCAGTGTGGGAGAATTATCCTTGGGGCAGGTGAATGGTTTGGGTAAAGGAGTGGGAGAGAAAAATCACGGGAGGTAGATGCAGAGAATAGTCAGACTTGCTAGTGTCTCTGATAAGCACTGGCCTTGGGCAAGGTGGGAGTTGAGCAGCCTGCTTCCACTTCTCTCTTACACAGATGTTGTGGATGGAGGTCTGTAGGCTTGGTATGAGAGGCTACTGAGGGACAGTGTCTTGCCATATGAGGATGGTCCTTATCTGGCAGCAGAAGAGAATCTTGAAGGCCATGGTGCCTGGAGTGAAACGTTTCATTTGATTATTTGTAAAATGAATCTTAATGAAATACATGCTAAACATACATGTCTTTACTATTTGACTCTCCACACAAATCATGCTAAACATCACTCCAGGGAAGGGAACAGATAATGTAAGGATATAAAGGAAAAGGTTTTAGTGTTAGGAAAAAGCGTTGGTGTTAGCATTAGTTGATAAAGTGAGATGAATGTCATAAAAGAGCTGGGGGGAGAAAGAAGAGATTGGAAAGCTGGAAGAGGTAGTTGAAAGGCTGTGCTCCTTCTTCTCCACCAAGACAGGGATGCCTTGTTGGTAAGCTCTGCACCTTCATCTTTTGGAGAGGAATACCTGAGATAGCATTTTGCTAGCACTGTTATCAGATATGAGCGCTATTGCAGAAAGGGCGTTTACCAAAAGCAATTCCAAATCTCATATAGAAAATAGAATCATAGAATCATCCAGGTTGGAAAACACCTCTAAGATCATCTAGTCCGGTCCCATCTGTCACCTTATTAAAAGTTTTCAACTTTGTGAAACTGTCTCAGTGAAAGTCCTTGGCAGGGCTCTTAAACAGGCAAGTGTTTGACTTTGATAGGCACCTTTCAATGTGACACAGATCCTACTCCCACTCCACCTAGGTCTCCCACAAAAAATTATTTACAACAGAAGCCATTTGGTATATCTCAACTTCCTTTAGCAGTGTGAGAAAAATCTCAATTAATTTTCTTCAGACAGGATCTTCTGCAAAGCTATTTTATTTGTGATTGGAATAGCGGAAGTCCTTTCAATTACGAGTGCATTTTAGTAAACAAATCATAACCTTTTATTTCCTATTACCCGACGCCTGATCACCTCCCCTGTTTCCTCATTGACTGAGTACTACAGGTTCACAAGCTACTCAACACTCCTCTATAGCATATATGTACAATCTTCTTCTTCTCCTTCCTTCCTTCCTTCCTTCCTTCCTTCCTTCCTTCCTTCCTTCCTTCCTTCCTTCCTTCCGTCCTTCCTTCCTTCCTTCCTTCCTTCCTTCCTTCCTTCCTTCCTTCCTTCCTTCCTTCCTTCCTTCTTTCTTTCCTTCTTTCTTTCCTTCTTTCTTTCCTTCTTTCTTTCCTTCTTTCTTTCCTTCTTTCCTTCTTTCCTTCTTTCCTTCTTTCTTTCTTTCCTTCTTTCTTTCTTTCTTTCTTTCTTTCTTTCTTAGTTTCTCACAGCAGCCTTTTCACACACTCACTCACAACGGAAGTCTGTACTCTCTCTGTCTCCACATCCTAACCCTAACTCTGAACTTTCTGTGAAACAAAAACAATTTGTGGACTTTGACTGATTCCAAAGTCCTGCCCATACAGCAGAGCCCCACGTGCCCCAAGGCTCCAAGAGCCCTGCTGGCATATCATAGTGGGACTGGCTCTGGTCTGCACTCAGCTCACAACCACAAGATGTGTGCTGCTGTGTCCCCAACCCCAAAGGCACATCCTTTGAAAGCCCCTTCACAGTCACACTAACAATGGGAGTCTGTGTTTTCTCTCTCTCCAAACCCTAAGCCTAACTCTAGACAGTGCCCAGGTCCAACACACACCACACCCAGCACTTCCATGAAATGCTGCTTGCAGCGGAAGCAATTTATTTAGTAGCCCTCGATGTCCTTTGGCAGCCTTTTAATTAAACTGTTCACAATGGGAGTCTGGACTTTCTCTGTCTCTCTCTAAACCCTAACCCTAGCCCTAGACATTGCCTAGATCCAAGAAACATTTCACCTAGTGCTCCCAAGAAAAATTGCTCGCAACAGAATCTTTTGGTAGCCCTCCACTTGCTTTGGCAGCACTCTCACAACTTCAGTCACAAGGGGAGTCTGTGCTTCCTTTCTTTCCAAACATAAGGACAGGGCTAAGACAGCTCCCAGGTCGAACATTCATCCTAGCAAGAGCTCCCATGAAAAAGCGTTCACATCTGAAGCATTTGGTAGCCCTCAACTTCCTTTGGCAGCCCTTTTACAAACCTTAGTCCTAGAGAGAGTTTGACCTTTCTCTCTCAAAACCTTAATCCTAACCCTAGACAGTGCCCTAGTCAACACCCTTTTCCAATACCCACCCCACCT